AACCCGCAGGCTCAGGCAATCCACTCACCTCAGCCTCCCAAAGGCGCGGGATTACAGGCTGAGCCACCGAGCCCGGCCCCTCTTCCTCTTTCTTATCTGATGTTCTTATCTTGTCTCTATGGCTTTGTACATGATATTCCTTCTACTCCATTCTACCCATAATTTCTTCAGGTTTCACCTTGGACTTTGGCTCCTTTAGAAATCCTTTTCTGCCTTCCCAGCTGCTCCCCATATATAAGGCTAAAGAAGCCCACTGAAGGCAGCAAAAGTGTCTTAGTCACTGTGTATGTTTAGCCCTCAGCACATTGTGTCTGTTGCATAAATGTATGTGTGCACTCCACCGGCTGCACTGCACACAGACTCCTGGAATGCGGAAGCCCATACTGTTTTCTGCCCAGATCCTGAAATCCCTTTCTCTAAAGTGGGGCGTGTCAACTGACGTAAGACATGGAGGACCATTTGCAACAACCAACCCTGCCCCAGAGACAGACAGCACCTCCTGCCACATATCCCAGCTCTTTCCACCCTTGACTGGTCTCCCTCAGAAATTTCATTCATTCAGTCACCTGTCATTCATTCGTTATTGTTGGTTTTTTTTAAATCAGAGTCTCATTCTGTCACCCAGGCTGGAATGCAGTGGCACGCTCAAAATCACCACAGCCTCAACTTGCTAGACTCAGACAATCCTTCCACCTCAGCCTTTGAAGTAGGTAGAATCACGTGCCACATGCCTGGCTAAATTTTTTGATGTAGAGACAAGGTTTTGCCAAGTTGCCCAGGCTGGTCTTGAACCGTTTGGCTCAGGCAGTCCTCTTACCTTGGCCTCCCAAAATGCTGGGATTACAGAGGTGAGCACCTGGCTATGCTCACCTTGACTATAAACAAATTTGAAACAAACCCCAAAAGGTAAAGAATATCTGCACTTACTCAAGAGTTACATTGAGGAAAGTTATTTTTCAAAAGTATTTACTGTAGGATTTCGTCACTAAAATGAAATACAAGTAATGATGTTGGTGATGGCCACTAGTAGTGGTAGCTGGTAAGCTAAGGAAATGCAGCCAACATTACCCTATCAGGATTCTGGTGTCACCAAGTCCAGCTTCTGTAGCTTGTTGTCACTGGGGCTCTCTGTGGAGGGCTCTCTGTGGAGGGAGTCACAGAATAGGGGCAGGGATCTGCACTTTCTCCTGGCCTTGTTTCCAGACTCAGGTTTTCTTTTCCTGGGCTCCTTTGGACACAACCTCTCTCTTTTTCACCCATGGAGAGATGACTCTGTTATGAGAGGGTCTACTATGTTCTGCATGCCTCTGCAACCTGAGCCCCCTTCAGAGAGGAACTGACCCAGCAACCATCAGAGACCAGCTGGCCAAGGGCCCAGGAGGCCTCCACCCAGGGATCTGTCAACCACCAGGGAGTGACTCTCTGAAGATCCTCCGTGGGGCCTATTTTCTGCCAGATACAGAAGGAGTAGACAATAGGAA